GCCCTAATTTTAATTGCTTCGGTTTAGCATCCTTCCAAATAAGGAAATTTGAAAAATGGGTCGGTAAAATTGATCCAAATTTTGACAATTCCGGATCAGCCCTTCTATCTTTACGCACTTAGTTTATTTACAAAATTCGATTTCCTTTTTGGTTTGTGTTACTCGCGCAAATAAGTAAAATCGCTCTTGCTAATACTAGTCGCTATATGAAATTATTCTATTACTATCGAAGATCCCGTTTTGCGGTTTAACGTTAAATACAAAAGATTACTAATCAAGTAAATTATATCGAAATATTAAAACTACAGATCGTCGTGTTGAATATATAAATTTCAGGAAATTTTAATTCTTTCTTGAATCCAAATTATATATGTTTAAATGGCTACTTTACTTTGTTATACATGTTATCGACAAGCGACGGCATTTCACAAGGTTTGGTCCTCGCGAATCTCTCAGTTAGCACAAGTGTCCGGTATGTTCTAAGTACAAAATTTTATAGTTATATTTAGGGTTCTGCAAATGCCCATGCCAGGCAAATTGGCATCATGCCAGGCACTAGTGCCTCATGCCATACCCATACCTATAGGCATAAAAGTGCCAGAAATTATTACGGGCATGGGCACAACCGCTGGGCATTTTTATGGGCATAGGCACAAATGTCAGGTACTTTATAGGCACGGCACAATATGCCAGGCAAAAGATGCCAAAAAAGTGCCGGATAGTACCAGACATACAATTACTTAATAAAATACTAAATTTTTGTGCCTATACCCATGCCCGTGCCAAGTTTTTATACCCATGCCATGCCTATGCCAAATTTTTGTACCAGTGCCTATGCCCATGCCAAGGCTTTCAAGCCCATGGCAATGCCTGAATTTTTGTTGGGCATGGGCACGAGCCCGGGTTGCAGATCCCTAGTTATATTCCTAACTTGGTTTACTTTTATTTTGTAGCATTTCATGCGTCGAAAAAAATTCACGATACAGCAGTACCTCTAAAAGATCAATATGATGTACGTACTAAGTCGTTGGACGGTGGTCCAGAACTAGCTTACGAAAAAATTGTAACCGGATATTCACTTTATCATCACGAAAATCCATTTCTATGTGATTACGGTGGCGTTTTGCCAAAATTTGATGTAGCATACGAAACTTGGGGTGAATTGAACGAAAATAAGGATAACGCGATTTTAATTCAAACTGGCTTATCTGGAAGTAGTCACGCTAAAAG